GCAGTACAGCAGAAGGGGAAAGTGAGGGGACCGCAGTAGCCATCCAGGGAAACCACACAGTGGCCAGGCCTAGAAGCTAGAGTAGGGGATTGACACGTATCACTTGGAAAGCTGCTCTATATCCTTTGAATATTATGTTTCCTAAGAGCTTCTCATAATATTCCAGAATACAGAGCTGGGCACAGTGGTGCACGCCTATAATCCCAGAACTCAGGAGGCTGAGCTAGGAGGACCCCTGCCAACTGGAGGCCAGCCTGGGCTACACAGAGAGTTCAAAGCCAGTCTGAACTACACAGTGAGACCCTGACTCAAATTTTAAAAAAAGGAAGGAAAGGAAAAGAGAACAGAGAAAAGAGCAGGAGCAGGAGCAGGAGCAGGAGCAGGAGCAGGAGCAGGAGCAGGAGCAGGAGCAGGAGCAGAGCAGGAGCAGAGCAGAGCAGAGCAGAGCAGAGCAGAGCAGAGCAGAGCAGAGCAGAGCTCCACAGCAAATACTGGAAATGAGTTCCTGCTGGGTCTGGACCACTTCCCACTTCCAGAGCTCTGAGTAGCGTAACTTATATGCAAACCATTCTACTGTAGGTTTAAAAAAAAAAAGATTCTCAAAACTTTCCTAACTAGGTACATAGCAAAAAACCGAAACTATTAATAAAATAACTTGCTAATTAGAATGAAGACTGCATTATTTAACCTGAAGACTAGAAAGGAAAATTACTTTTCAGACTTGTTAAAGGTAGAAAAATTGATATACTCTTTTGGGGAAATATGACAAACACAAAAATATGTAACATGTAATTATTTGTAATTACATGTAATTATACATGGTTAAAAATAAGCAAGTCAGGCACCGTGGTGCATTCCTGTGATCCCACCTATTAAGCAGGCAGGATAGGGTGGGAAGATCTTGGGTTTGAGGCCAGCGTGGGCAATTCATCAAGACATATCTCAAGAAAATGAAGAAAGAAAAAACGTAATATGGAACTATACATCAAAAAGTTTAAAAAAAACCCACTCAATAAATCTACATCTAGGACACATCCTAAAGACAGAAAGACTCTAAAGCAAAGGGTCTTATCACAAAGTACTATTAAAAATGTGTAGATTATATGTATAACCAACTGAATTTTATATAAATTCCTCATGACCAAGTGTCTAGAACATACTAAGTGAATGTGGCTACAATTTTTAGGTTCGATGCCAATTCTGGAAATGGGAATGGGGTAAGGGAGGATATGAACATAGGGTGCAAGTATGAAAGTGATTGAGAAGAGGGATAAAGTAAGATTGGCCCGAAATGACATTACTGAATCAGGATGATGCGTAAGTGGTAGTTTTGGGGTGCACAATTCTTCCTGCCTTCACAAATATGTCAACTTTTCATAATAAAAGCTGAAAAGAGAGAAAAAATACTCACTAAAATGTGAAGTAACCCTACATAGAGAGAATTGCAGATGTTTTCTTTTAGCGTAAGTCCAAATCTTCACTCATGCACAGTGACTTCAAAACAGGCTGAGACAAGTTTAACTTACCACCCAACAGGCATTTCCAAGATCAGCAATCTTCACTTTGAGTTTTTCTGCATTTTTTGGCTCAAGGGGATTAACAAGAAAATTTCCAGCAGTGGATTTTCCTACAGACAACAGGTACCATCAATAAAACTGTTCAATAAATACAGAAATACCCAAAGGGTAGTGAAGTTCTCCAAAGTAAGAGTTCTAGGTAGGCCCCCAGTTGGCAAAGTAAAATAAAGTTCTGAAAACACAGCAGCACCCTCAGTTTCTAGAATTAAACACACCCGTGCTCATAGGACCCAGTGAAACGCTGCGTACCCATCCCAGATCTGCACATGAAGGCAGCACGGTCGCCTGCTGGCACGGCGGTATTTCCATCTGGAAATGCACGAACGTGCTGCACAGGGATGAGTGCTGGGGGACTACAGCTCACGGGTACCTTTGCTGTCCAGTGGTCCGTTCTGTCCCTCCTCTTGCTCCTCTTCACCAGGGATCTCTGCCCGAATGCTTTCTTGCAGTTGGGTGATGTGCTGCTCGTTGAAGGACTGGTCTCCAGTTGCAGAAGACTGGCACACCATGGCATCTGACACCTCCGGGGGCGCAGGTGTACAAGAGTCTGTATCTTGAGATATGCTGTTGTCCCCATTTTGGGAGCTTAGGAAACTAGGTTCCTGCTTCAAATTTTGGACATCACAGTCATTAGCATTATGGAGATCCTCTTTAAGCCTCAATGTTTCTTTGTTACTGTTCTCAGTATAATTACTGACTTCAATTACTCCATTGCAATTAATTTCTGTTGCACCACCCTCTACACCACGCTCCACAAGTATCTGATCCTGGCCAATGGAACTTGACTCTTCTAAGAAACAAACAAACAAAAAAAGATGTATGTGTATGTGTGAGTGAAAGAACAGGACAATTCCCACTAGATGAAGACATGTTCTAGAGCTGATACTGAGTGACATAAAAACCATGACTGGACATCTAAAGCCTCTTTATGGAAGGACACAAAGCTATTGGCCTTACCCAATAGCTAAATTAAGTCTAACGCTCCATTTCCTGAGAAAAGTTAGAAATAACATTTTATTACCTGCCTAACATTATGACAAGATCTGACTTATTATAAGGACACCCCCAGAGATGTGTTGTATGTATGAGACCACTATATTATAACAACAATCAGCTAATGTTAACGTGTGCCATAAAGTGATTTTTGTGATGCTCTATTTATACCAAGTTTTTCTTGGGTCATTTTATTAGGTGGGTTCTCTTTCAAGGGTCTTTCAACAGGACTCTCTGATTCTTCTTGCTTGTTGGGTCTTTTTTGCCCAGGGCCCGACTCTTTCTCCATTTCCTCAATCTCCTGCATTCGCTTCTCTAGTAATTCTGCCTGGCGCTTCTGCTTCTTCTTCAATTTCTTCTTCTTATTCTTTGACATTTTGTCAGCCTGGGCGGAGATTACAAACAAATAAAGCCTTCAGGTGGCTAATCCATTAGTCCTAGTTGGAGATAACTGTTAACTTTAATTACTTCCTAATTAAGTTTCACTCTTCCCCTAAATTTTTTCATTAACTTAAAAGCTGCAGGTACTCTTATGAAAGCAAATACAAACAAATTCACAATAAATGTTGGTTTTCTGAGCAGTCTGTGGGGGGGGATTAATCTCAGACACTCAAATTTACAGAAACCTCAACCAGTACAAACTTGCTAAATACGCACAGGAATTTATTGGAAAAAATTATAGAAGCGCAGGAATATTTTTTCCTTTTGGGTTCCAAACTCTGAACAAATTGCGACCACAACAGAAGAACCCACGCTCATAGCCCATAGATCAAAATTAAAATAGAAACCCCTTGTACTTACTGGTTTAGGTTGGGGAGCAGTACTGACTGAAAAGAAAAGAAGGCCAAGTAAGAATCTAGCATTCAGCAGGCAATACAACCTAAGGCTGAGATAAGACCCCTAGCAGAATGAAAAACTTTCCTACACAGTCTGCATTGCTTTTAACTGACCTTGGCAGAAGCTACATTCTTTTTATTTTCAAAGAACACAAACAATGCACACAAAATTTGTCAAGCTTAAAAACATTTTAAGTTAAATCCTTTCCCGGGTAGCAATCAACATATTGAAAGAGACAAGTTCCCGTTTCTGGTTCCTATGACTAATGTCACTGAAATCACCTGTTTTCCACCACCATGTAGTGCTTAATAGAGCAAGTGACAAGACAACCTTTTCATGCACGTGCAAGATTCCTACAACTCCTTTTTTTTTTGGTCTTTTTGAGACAGGGTCTCACTATGCAGTTCAGGCTGGGCTTGAATTCACTTCGCAGCCCAGGCTGGTCTCGAATTCCCAATGGTGCGCCTGCCTCAGCCTCCCGAGTGCTGGGATTATACGTGTGTACCACCAAGCCCAGCTCCTACACCTCTTTTAATTTTTTCCCCTCAGCAGGTGTCAGTGTTTAAAAGAGAGTCTAGGAAACATCAAAAGCCACAGTAATTTGCTACTTCCTTGTATATATAGTGCATTACAGATAACAGTGCAGTTTGGGTCAGATGCAGTGTCAACTATATCCACATTATTGCATAACAGATGTCGTAACTTTTTTATCTTGCAAAACTGAAACTATACCTATCAACACCGCCACCCTGCTTCTTCTTTCTCCAGTCTTTCTTTAAAAGACTGATAACTGATGCTTCAACATGAGTATCACGAAAGTTCCTCAAATATGATTAAACTATTAAATTAGAACTTATACCTCAAATGGAAAAATCATCACAATCATAGCAAGCATACTTTACCTAACATACAAAACTACATGGCACACTGGAAACGGCTAACATCCAAGTTAATCCCATTAACTCTGCAGGAGGCAAAATGAAGCCCGTAACTTAGCCAGTGTCTGCCAGGGTGGTGAAGTGAGGATTCAAACCGCTCTGACTACTCTATTTCTAAACCCCAGCTCCTAACACCAGTGTTACCTTGTCCCTGTGCAGATTGCTAATTTGTAGATCAGCAGATGTGATCATGGTAAGAGCTAAGCACATCAAAAAAAGAAAGAGAAAGAAACCTGTACACAAGTCACTATCTATTTATTAGTTTCTGGATTTCTGAGACGGTCTCACCATGTAGTTCAAGGCCAGCCTCCAACTCACAGTGATCCTTCAAGTGCTGGGATTACAGGCATGCACCTTCACCCCTGGCACAAGGTGTCACTTTAATATAATATATAAAGTACACAGCAATCTCTAGTTGTCTTCTCATATGGAACAATAATGAAAATGAAGTCTCCTGAAAGCTGATTTAAATATTTAAGTATCTTACAGCGAAATGACTAAATGGTGTTGCTGATATATTTAAGTATTTTACAGCCGAATGAGTGGTGTTAACTCCCTGCTAACAGAATAAAAGTAGACATTTGTCTTAACTTTTAATGAGAGCAAACCACTCTGCTCCCACCCCTATTATACCTGCAGACCCAGAAGGAGGAGGAGCTCCGGACCGCTGCCATTCTGTTGCTTCTGCTGCCAGTCTCCGGATGTATTGCTCGTTCACTGACAACAAGATGTTTTCTGGTTTTATGTCCGTGTGGATGATACGGCACTTGGTGTGTAAATAGTCCAGACCCTGTAACACCTAAATGGAATAGATTAGTAGACTTAGAAAGACAAAACACAAGTTTTTCTGGGGAAGAAATCACATTTAAAAAATAAATAAATGAATGAAAGCACAAAGAAACTTCCCCAGAAATATTAATTATAAACTTCCAAGGTTCCCAAAGCTAATTCTGTTTGGAGATACTCTTTAATTAGGTGTACCACAAAGACTGAAAATAAACGTTAAACATACTCTTTAAATGCTGAAATGTAGATGAGGAAAGAGAACTAGGTATCTTGTAGTACAAATTTCCTCACTGATAAATAAAATCTCTTATTTCCCAGTCTAGACTTTTTCTATGATATATTATCCAAACAAAGTATTTTTTCTGTAAAGTAATATTTTGACAGTAAATTGAATTCTATGCTTATCTAATGCTATTTAGAAAAGTGCCCACAAAAAAATGTTGTTTAAAGAAATGATACTAATTTGACATAGCAATTCTATAGTTAATACATATTTAATACCCTATTTTCCAAAGTCAGGCACCTCACACAGCTTCTGTCTCTTAACAATTATTATATGAGCCAAATCTGGGGCAATATCACAGTAATACTGAAACATTTAAAAACAGAATACATATAGTAAACCCTATGGGCTAAATTCTACTGGCAATAGGAAACTCCTGATCCTTTAATATTAAGATATCACCCCATAGCGAAGACAGATACACACTTGCTGAATAATTCTTTTGACACAAGGCAACGGAAGCCCCTGGTAGTTGGACTTGATGATCCACTTGAGCAGGTGATGCCCCAGCACTTCAAACACCATGCAGATATCTAACAGTTCATTAAGGAAGCAAGAAGGTACTCAAGAGAGAAGCAGGACAAGATGTGGACTCCAATTCAATGGAAATGTCCTAGATCACTGTCTTCAATATAAAAAGAGGTTGACTGAAAAAATACGTACCTGTTAATATTCTAAAATTCTTCGGCCTAATACTGTAGGTAATGAAAGCACCCCTGAAACAGAGAACTGTGTGTGGGAGCTGCTTTACTGAGAAAGTTATACACACTAAGACAGAGGTGAAGAGAAAAGTGAAACCTGCACATGCAACTAGTGCAAGTGCTAGGCTCAAGCTGTCGATTAGATACAGGCTAAGAAATTTCTTCCCTCATGTCCAGGGTGGTCACTTCCGTTCTCAGTCTCCAAGGAAGAAAAAACACATTCTTTTTTTTTTTTTTTTTTTTTGTCTTTTTGAGACAGGGTTTCACTATGAATTTCAGGCTGGTCTTGAACTCACTTTATAGCCCAGGCTGGCCTCAAACACAGTGACCCTCCTGCCTGGTCGTCTGGCTGTGCTGGGATTACAGGCATGCGCTGCCATACCCAGCTAAAAACACATTCTCTTCCTTGGCAGGAGAGGACAATGCACAAAATGTCAACATGTCCCCCCACCTTTTATGATACAGGGGTGGGATTCAGGGCCTCAGGCATGCTAGGTAAATGCTCTCCCATTGAGCTACACTCCTAGTCCCCAAATTTTTCACAACAGCAAAGTGACTTGCTTTATGTGCTGCAGTTTACAAAACTTCTAGTGCCACCGTGTGTTCTCTTTATGCCTAAACATCGGATCACACCACAGCAGGAATACTGAGTGCGCAGGACTGCAAGGTGAGTAGCTTTGGGAGTATCTTCCACACCAGAAGCGTCTACATATACTGGAAACCTAAGTGTATATGTACAGCAAGACATACATAATGGCCTACTGGCCAGATTTTTGTTTTAAATAAAATTCATCACTAAACAAAAGCATGAGCTCCTTAGAAGAATGGCCATATCCACGGCTACCAGGCAGGGTATGCCTGGAACACCTTGTCATGCCAACAAATAAGGACACGAGCCAAGAAGAACAGGAGCCAGCTTGAACAGGAGGCCGCCGGCCAAAGTAGGGCGCATCTCAGAGAGTGAGGTTATGTGCTAACGCACTAATTAAAACTAGAGCGACCCCACAGTAAGAGTGAGGAAGAGAAATGCCTTTAGAGAAGAAAGCCAGATGTACAATGGAAATGAAAGGCAGTACGAAGTGGTGAGTGGCGAATTCTGCGCCTCTCCAACTGTTTTAAGCCCCCTCCTACCCTGACTTTCAGAGCATTTTTAATCTGTGCCGTCTTCCTCTTTATTCGTTTTGGGAGCCAGACATAAAGACTCCAAAGTTCACAAGCAACTGTCCATATTGGGAAAGTTACTGCTTGCCCACAGAAAAGCACACGTTCACTTGGCAGAAAAGACCTGCCAAGAACTTTAGTTTAGGATAATCCCTTGCACAGAGAGTCCACAACAATAAAAAACAAGCTGGGCATGGTTGTGCCCGCCTGTAATTGACACACTCAGGAGGCTGAGGCAGGAGAAGTGCTATGCCTTCAAGGCCAGCCTGGGCTACAAACTGACTTCAAGGCCAGCCTGAACTGTACAGTGAAACTCTGTCTCAAAATGACAAAAATCAATCAGTCAATCAATAAAAACCAAAAACTACACCCAAAACAACAACAGTAATAAGAACAGCAAACCCTGAGTAAGGGGCAGATCTGATTTCCAGAGTTACCGTATTAATAAATCCAAATGCTCAGTCTTCAACAACAAAACAAAATCCACAGGACTGCAAAGAGCGCAGTACAGAGCACTGAAAGGAAATGAATCAACAGAAACTGCTCCTGCAAAAGATCTGACGTCGGATCTACACAAAGTCATTAAAACAAATGTCTTAAAGATATTCAAAGAACTAAAAGAAGATGTGGGTTAAGTCTAAAGAATAAGAAACTAAAAACAAACCAAAAAGAAATTCTGGAGCTGAGAGTTCCACTGAAACGAAAAATTCACGAGATCCCAAGGCAGATTTGAACAGGCAGAAGGGAAAATTAGCCAAGCTGGAGATTGGAAAATGTAAGTGATGTGTTGAATGTGAGGAATAAACAGAATTAAGTGGTTGAGCAGAAGGAAAGTGCACAGGGCCCAAAGGAACTTGTGGGACACCATTAAGTGGACCAACACACACACCGTAGCAGCCCCAGAAAAGACAGAGTATCTGAAAAGATAATGGCTGAAACCACCCCAACTTTGATGAAAGACATGTATTTGAACATCCAAGACGCTAAGTGAACTGCAGGTAAGACGAACTCAAGAAGACCCACACCAAGATACGTAATAATCAAACAAGAAAAAGATGAAGGTCCTTGAAAACTGCAAGAGATTTGTCATATGAAAGCAAGATCCTCAGTAAAACTGTCAGCAGATTTCTCATCAGAAACTGAAGAGGCCAAAAGGCAGCAGAGTCAGTATGTTCTAAGTGCTGAAAGAGTGTCAATTAAAAATCCTACTTCCAGGGGCCAGGGATATAGCTCAGCAGTACACTGCCTGCCTGGCAAGTGCAAGGTCCTGAGTCTGATTCCTGCTAAAAGAAAAAAAAAAAAAATTCTACATCCAGCAAAACTGCCTGTGGTGTACTGACAACTGGTGGTCAACTTGCAACACCCAGGTGAACTGAACCAGCACGGTGCTGGGTGTGGGAGGCCCGCCTAAGGACTGTTGCCAGCAGCATATAAGGCAGAATGGGAGAAGGACAGAGGCTGTTGGGAGCTGGTAGGAGCTGGAAGGTGCTGTTAGAAGCTAGAGGGAGCTGTTGGTTTTCCTGGAGGAGTTTGTCATGCTGGCTTTCCTGGTGAACTTGGCTGTTACCATCAGGGGAGGAACTCAGGACCTCGTTGCGCAGAATGGCTTCGCTTCACTTTTTGGGAGCTCTGGTCCTCACTCTGAGCATCGCTTCCTGGCTCCAGAGGGGAAGAAGGTGTACTGCTCAGTCTCCTGAGAAGCTTGTCCGTTAGCTTTCCTGGTGGAAACTCGGCTTTCCTCATTATTGGAGGAGCTCGGGACCTCACTGTTGCTGAGGATGGCTGTGGTACTTTGGGGATGGGGTGGGAGGCTCTGGTTCTTTTGAGTGTCGCTCCCCGGCTCCAGTGCAGACCCCTCAGCCTGCTAGCACAGATCCTTCATCCCGCTGGCACAGACTTTCTAGCTTCCACCACTGACCTTAGGGCCTTCCCAGCGCAGATCTGTGAAACAGGCCTGCATGAGACATTGTCATGGGCTCTAGGCCTCCAGCTGGACTTGAAAGAGGCATTGTTATGGGCTCTAGGTCCTCAGCTGAACTCATACAGGACATTATTGTGGGATCCAGGGCCTCAGCTGGATTCTTTGGTCTTTAGTGTGTCCTACACTCTCTTTGCATTTGATTCTTTGGGTGACTATTATAAATAATCTTATAAAGTAGGTGTCTTGTATTATATTGCTCCCCTTGCAAAAACCTCAACCATGATACCGTCTTTTAAAAGCAAGAGAGAAACTAAGCCGTTCACATGAAAACAAAAGATGAGGGAATTAACTACCAGTAGCCGTGCCCTATAAGAAATGCTCAAAGGAGTTCTGGAAGGTAAAATGAAAAGACAGAGATACTAACTCAAAGGCATACAAAGCAAGAAAGATCTCAAGATAAAGAGATGGGAATTGTAACAGCTGATATTACCGTATCTTTGGTCTGTAATGTCATGCTGTTTTCTACATCACTGAAAGACACCATGGGTGGGGGCATGGGACTCATGCACCTGCTTGGCAAGCACTCTACCTCTGAATTACACCTCCAGCCCTAAAAACAGGAATTTTCTGAAAGAATTTTAATGCATAAAAACATTACTCTTTAGCATCAATAACTGAAATACTGAACTGTTAAGAGAAATCTACGTATCTATCTGAAGTTAAAACTGGCATAAATTCAAATTATACAAAGTTAAAACACAAGTCAATGTTGTTAAACTTTAGGACAGTGAATCTAATCCTGCGGTAATCACACTGACTATACAGAAGGAAGTGAAAAAGGAATTTAAATGTTTCATTACCAAAAAAATATCAACTCATGACAGAAATTCAAGGAACAAAACACTATATGGCACAGAGAAAATGGATGGCGGAATGGTAGAGCTCATTATCAGTGAACTCTCCAACCCAAAGCCAGATACTGAAGCTGGGTGTGATGCACACCTGTAACCCTGGCTTCGGCAGAAAGAAGGACCGTGAGTTCAAGGCCAGCCTGGGCTTGCAAAGCAAGACCCCATTAGAAAAAGAAAGGGGAAAGAAGATGTGCTGTCCCAGCCCCACAGTCCCAGCACTCTGGAAGGCTGTGGCAAGAGGATCACAAATTCAAGCCAAGGCTGGGCAACTTAGCGACTCAGTAAGACCCCATCTCAAAACAAAAAAAGATCTAGGGTTACAGCTCAGTGTAAAGGCTGGACTCAATGCCGTACAACAAATAAATACAAAAAAAAAAAGCAACAACCTTTTCCAGATATACTCTAAAACAACTATGAATGGAATAGTAAGGTCAGCTACACAACCATCAGGAAAAATAGACAGAAGTAAGATCAGCTGTAAGGTGATGACCTGTAAAATGGGTAATGGATAGGTGGTGAATTTTTAAATTTTTCTACCGTTTGTTTTGCTTTGTGGTACTCGGGTATTGAATTCAAGGGCCTTTGCAACAAGCTAGAGCCCCAGACCTTTTGTTTATTTTTAAAACTTTGAAACAAGGTCTTGATGAATCACTATGTTCCCTAAGGCTGGGCTTGAACTTATGATCCTCCTACCTCAGTTTCTTAAAGTACTGAGATAACAGGCATATGACATCACATCTGGCTTTATTCTACTTTTTTATGTTTTACCAGAGTAAGTTTTTTTTTTAAACTGCTTTTAAAAAGTAAACAAAACACAAAACTTTTAAGCAATTTTCTTATACTTATAGCTTCACCTTCTTGTCTTTTTTCTGTTGAGAAGCAAAATATTTTGCTTCACAAACATTTAAATTTGTAAACAGTGATATGAAATGACATTTAGTAGCTTAAAAATGAAAAAGATCTCAATAAAACACCATAATTAGTTATGGAGCAAAATATAGGAGGTCGAATAGCTTTGGGTAAAAGAAGACTTTGGGGTCAAGAAGGCAGGGGTCAGAATAAAGAGAAGTACTTGAAATTAACACATCAAAAAGAAATCTAGAGATGGTATAAAGAAAACAAAGGGCTAAAAACATTACTGATTAAGAGCCATATTAAAAATACAGGGGCTGGGGATTTAGCTCAGCGGCACAGCGCCTGCCTGGCAACCGCAAGGCTGTGAGTTCAATTCCCGGTACCAGAAAAAAAAAAAGAGAGAGAGAGAATACACTGTAAGAGGCGCCTGCAAAAGAGGAAAGGTCAACAGTAAAAGAATGCAGCACAAAGCCTTCGTTACAAATACTTTCCTGAGAAAGAACAGTGATGTGATGCAAAAGCAATCCTGCCTGGACACACAGCAAAGGCGGATGTGCAGCTCCAGGTATAGGTGTGCTGTGCATTGAGGTAAACAACCCAGCACCTTGAGTAACAGCCTTCTCAATCTCTGACCACAGCAATCAAAGCACGAGCCAAGACAGCTGGGAGAAGAACAGAGAAATAGCTAAGGAGAAGAGGAGAAACTAATTAAAAGGGAATTCCGTGGACATAAACCACCTAGTAATGTTTCAAAAATACCTCAAGTTGGGCTTGGTGGAGCACCCCTAAAACCCCAACACTCAGGAGGATGAGGCAGGAGGATCTATGCAAGTTCAAGACCAGCCTGGGCTACAGAGGGAGTTCAAGGCCAGCCTGAACTACACGGTAAGGCCCTGCCTAAACAAACAAACACCCTTAAACTTGAAATTCACATCTTCTAAGTTAATGGTTAAAATAAAGTGTTCTTGCTTAGGGTCAAAAGTGCCCATCATTACTAAGAAGAGTATGTAGAGTGATTACTTGTAATTTACTTGTCACTTTCCCAGCTAGTAAAAAAGTCTGGCATTATGACAAACACTACAAACTTAAATACGAGACAAAATCTAATGGCTACCCTGACATTCTGTGCAGGCATTTCTCGTTTAGCTTTCTTAATACTCTCCATACACACACACAGAGTACACCATCTAACAAAGGTCTACAATAGGAATAAAATATACTTTTTTCAGATGGATGTAATACTTTTCCTTAGCCATCTGGAGACTGATTTTTGTTTCCATAAGGCAATGACTTAGAATTTCAGGAGATGTCTTTTCACCTTTACCATCTATTTCCTTTCCTTTCTCACACTTTTTGCTTTCCAGTTTCAATTTCTTCCCACAGTCTACACCGAAAGTACAGTCATTTGTACGCTACTCTCTCAGAGGGGGAGGGGAATCAATGTCATGAAGGACGTGTGTTGAGAGGGGCTAAACAGGCATGGAAAGTGGGATGATATATCAAGTGTCTCTCCTATACATGTTAAAATAGTCCACGAACAAATAATTTTACATTCTCCAATCAAGTATCTGTACAGAACATTTATAGTTAACTTGCGAAGAAAATGAACTAAGGTTCAAACATCCAGCTCTAATATTCTAAAACTTAAGATTCAAAATATAAAACAAGTCAATTTTTTTCATTATGTTAGAATGTGAACAATAATATTCAGATTCTAAACATAATCTAAAGCTTGCTGCGGTGGCACATGCCTGTAATCCCAGCACTCAGGAGGCTGAAGCAGGAGGATCACTGCAGATGGCCAGCCTGGGCTACAAAGTGAATTCAAGGCCAGCCGGAACTGCATAGCGAGACCTTGTCTCAAAACAAAACAAAAACCCATATATATATAATACATATAATATATATATATAAAATATATATTATATATATATAAATGTATATATAAATATTTATATATAAAATATGGTGGTTCAACTACTGGATGACTTCAAAATATCAGGAGTTAATGGAATATGTATATTTTATAGAACTTACCTTATATTTATATATAAATTATATATATATATATTACCATATATATATGTATACAAAATCTACACTGACAAACCTCTTCAATATGAAGACCAGGTGTAAACCAAAACTATACCTTAAATTCTGCATTATTTTTTAATGAAAAGTTACTTCTCTTAAAATTTCCGTGTTGCCAGGTGTGGTGGAGCAAATCTGTAATCCCAGCACTCAGGAGGCTGAGGCAGAAGGATTGCCTGAGTTTGAGGCCAGCCTGGACTACACAGTGAGTTCAAGGCCGGGCTGAACTATACAGCAAGACCACGTCTGGGAAAAAAAAAAGTAAACAACAAAAGAAAATTTCTGTGCTAATTATGAAGCTCATAGAACCTTTATTTAGTAATACTAAGCTACTTTCTAAAAGAGTTTCTTTTGATGTTACTTTCATTCACCTGAAAAGGGAGTAAGGATGGGGGAACCTAAAGCAGTATCTTGAAAAAGCTTATCATAGACAATTCAGATCTGTGTTCAGAAGTGTACAACAAAAGGTGTGAGAGTCGTGATGCCCACCTGAACGGGTTAGGAAACACTCAGGATTCAGTTCTGACCGACACGTAAGATTCAAACTGGCGAGGGAAGACTCACCCTGGATGTGGCTGGCACCAACCCACAGGCTTGTGGCCTGACCCAACAAAGAAGACGCAGCCCTGCCTTCTGCTTCCTCAGAGGGGCTCTGGTCTTCCTCAGTGCCTCTGGACGCCCAGCACAGACCTTTCGGCTTCCCAATACAGACCCCCCGGCTCTGCTGTGAGCTCCAGGCTTTTGACTTCTGGCTCCTCACCATGCAGACAGGCTTTCTGCACTCTCCCAGCCCTGACTCCACAGGTGGCTACTGTATTTACTTTGTAAATCCTTTATGTATCATATATATTTATGATATTCATATAATATATGTTTATACTATATAGTACACCTATATATAATACATTGTTATATATACTTATATTACATATATTTCAAAAATATTAAATCTGTCCCACTAGTGAACCCTAACTGATACAGAAGTAGTTTTTATCATAGGTTACAGATATCAATGTTATTTGTACAACTCTAGTTCCTTCCCCTGGGATAAGGGGCTGGGGATTTAGCTCAGCAGGCAAAGAGCGCCTGCCTGGCAAGCGCAAGGTCGTGAGTTCGGTTCCCGGTACCGGAGAAAAACCAAAAAACCAAAAAAATGATACTCATCCTTCCCCTGGGATAAAGTTATTTCATGACTTATAAAAGGTAAGTTCTGAAAAGGATACGTGTTCCATTAACTCCTGATATTTTGAAGTCATCCAGCAGCTGAACCACCATTTCTCTGTTGGGATCACTGGGGTCTGAATTGCGAACCTGTCAGGAAGAGAGAGCTTGGTGAAAGGGAAAGCATGGAAACAAGCCAAACGGTACCAAGTCCGAAAAAGAACATTTATAAATCTATAAACCAGATTTCTTTTTTTTTAAAAGAGGAAGAAAATAAAAACAAAATAAAAACAAAACAACACGAGAACAATAAAAACGATTATATGTTACATTTATGCTACTAAGTGTGGCTTAGAAATTAACTGCTGGTTACTCAGCTACTGGAAACTAAGTCACGTTCACAGGATGCAAATCAATCACAGGACCAACCACAATGTTTATCAAGTTGACTTTTTAAGAGAAAAACTCTCAGTGAAAGGCAGTACACACTGATTTCCTTTGGGGCACATGCTCCTTCTCTGACCACAAACAACTTTGAAAAGCACTGCCTCGGAGAGCTCCTGGTCCAACATATTCCTTTTATGAACAAAATGTTTGAAGAGCAGCAAGAATAAAATGAGATGGCGGGCACACTGGGACAGAGATGGACCTAATGCAGGTTTCCTACCATGAAGTTTAAGCTCCTCCTACTGTGTTGACTTCTGAATTTATAACAAAACTGACATAAATGTTCTCCTAAAATTCACCTAAGTTTCCAAGTATAAATGGGATTAATGAATACAGAATTTACTTTTTGTTATGCGTTTTACAACGCATTTTATTAGCACCACGCTCTAACCGAGCTAACCAGCCACACTTATAACGTATTTTAAAACAAAGTAAAGATAAAAATTTTTTACACAATTTTCCTCTTACCCCACAGTAGGTTATCTGGCACAGAAGACATACCCACCAATGCTGTTGTGCTTGCCTGACAAGTTTTTGGAGTGGCAGTGTGTGTGGAGAATCCAATTACATCAGATCTCACCAATTCCCTACCACACGCTTGTGCAAATGTTATCTCCATCTACACCTTCTTCTCGGTACTAGAACTTTACAGCAGGTACAGTAAAAACTTACCCGTGCTAAAGCGTCTACTAGTTGCTATGTCTAGTTAATACTACATAATGTTTTGCAGATACACCTATGATGTAATACTCACTGATTTCAGCAACCGGATTTCATCTAGTGCTGTTTCAGTATAATGTTCAGCACTTTTAACTACTTTCATTGCCACAAACTTCTTTCCCCTAAGAAATAAAGACAGGTAATTAAGACTAAATGCACTACCCATACTTGGGAAGCTAAGAATTGGTTATAACTGGCAGATGATAAGCAAATATAAAGACAGTACTGATTTCATGTTCCCTGTAGCCACACTTTCTATGCAATCACTTTTAACTGTTAACTGGCACAACTGGCAAGATTTCATTTACAGAAAGAAAACAATCTGTTCTCAGATAACCTCAGTCACTGAAAAATTTCTCTAAATTAAAATCTACCTTTTAACTGGGAAGGTAGCTCAGTGGCAGACCCCTTGCCTAGCGTGTGCAAGATCCTGGATTGGCTTCCCAGCACCACAAAACAAAACAAAACAAAACAAAACAAAACACTATCTTCAGAGTATCTCCTGGAGTAGTATCTACTTGGGAGAGTATCTCCCAAGTAACATTAAGAAATGGGGATAAATAAGGGAAAAAACACTACTAAGTCAGAGTTATTCTTTATATGTCTGTACAGTAAAAGACGCAAGGTTAAAAGGTACTTTATCCTATAAGAAGCCTGAAGACCTACTTGGATAAAAACAAAATAACAAGTCACAAAAATCAAGTGATAATAGTGACGTGCGTAGATAGCAATTACTGTTCCATCAAAGACAGGTGATACGTGTTTAGGTAAATACTCAATGTTAAAGAGGTATTTTTATTGCCTGTAATTTTTATGTAGAGAAAATTTTAGACTGCATGGGTGAACAAATCTGTTACAAAAGTAATTTTACATGGTCTAACATTATCTAAAAATTTAACTCTACCTCCAGTAAGAAGATGAGTATTAATTTACATACCACTGTACATCTGGAAAGCTTTAAATGTGGGAGTTTCAAGTATTTTGTTGATACAAATTTAAACAATATTTTGCCTCGCCTCTAAAATGGAAAGGCATATATATGTAATTTTCATGTATCAGATTTTTATAATAATGAAGTTTTTATTTTGTTTTGTTTTTCTGAGACACGGTCTTGCTGTACAGTTCAGGCTGCCCTGAACTAACTATATATAGTCCAAGCTGGCCTCAAACTTGTGGCAATCCTCCTGCCTCAGCCTCCTAAGGACTGGGATTACTCATGTGCGCCACCATGCCCAGCTCAAAGATTACTTTCAACAACAAAATCCAAAATATGCAGGCATCACCTAATTAATTCTTTTCTAAGACTACTAAAACTTACTGAATATCCCATGATAACCACACTGTTGAAAAGTGTCCCCATCCCAGCTTTCGGATCACATGGTATCTGCCATTGAACAGATCGCCAATTTTCACAAGATGATAACCTCCTGGAAGAAAACAAGAGAAGTATAATCAGAACCACCAGGGTAAGACACAGTCACTTCATCAGTCAGAAAAAGGATCTTAAATCCCATTGATCAATGTCCACACACCTTTTATCAAGTTAAAGGTTTATTCTATGAAATTAATTCAACAGAGCAAAATGTTAACAGTTAAATCAGCCAGTGTTACTGAGGTCATGTTACAAAAAATAATCTTAGCGAATAAAATTTTAAATTGAGCAAGTGATGTTTGTTAGAACCTCATCCTCAAACAAAAATAAGGTTATAAAAGCAAAAAGCAAAAAGCAAAAAACAAGATTATGTATCACAACAGCCTTGCCTCCAAAACTGCGATAGATTTCTCTAAACACATGAATCTACTTTTAGTTGTAGTCGCAGGATATTTTCCAGGAGAATAAGAACTTTTATTTAGCTGAAAAAAGAAACAGGAAGATTTTCTTCTCTAAATAAAAATAAAAATCAGGAAGGCCTGAACAAGGTGCCCAAAATAAAAGCAAATATTTTAACACTTCTCTGGGATACTGGTGACACCTGTAACCTCAGGAATCTGGGAGGGTGGCACAGGGGGATCCCAAGTTTGAGCCCCAGCCTGGCCAACTAGTGACTCAGCAGGGCTCTGTCTTAAAACGGGAAAGCAGTGGGAGTGGGGCGGCTGGCGATGTAGCTCAGTATGGAGGCCCTGGGCTCAATCCCCAGTACCTCAAAAAGGGGAGGTGATATTGAGAAGATATTTCTTTTAAAATATCTGTGTATTAAAATACCACAACTGGCTACTTCTGGGTATAGCACTGCAGGTGGCTTTTCTTTTTAATATTTCTGAAAAAAATTTTTAAGGTAATTATACAGTATAATTTTTAAAGAGAAAAAAATGAACATTTAATACAAAATTACACTTGGAGAAGTCAAACTAAGAACAAGTATTATTTCTTGTATCTGAGAGAAAAAGATGCAAAAATCATCAAAACTGTGCTTGTGCAGAAAGAGCCAATATCAAAATAATGAAACGGCAAACAGATGGACCCTACCTTACCGAGTATCTCCTTCCTTACCTTTGCAGTAGTCATTGGGGTCTTCCTGCTCATCATCATCGGACCCCAGAATCTCCTCTTCCTGCTCTGGCAGGTCACTCTCAGAATGGGGGGCGGAGCCTCGGTGCTGAGTTTCATTTCTAAGAAATAATACAAATATGCTCATTCCATATGGATAGGAGAACCAGAGGCTTTAAGAAAATGTCAGTCATCTCCCCTCCCCCATAAAACTTCAAATAATATCAACAGAATATTATTAAGCAGCAGCCTAATGTTATGGTTTGGGGCTTATCGTGCAAGGTGAAACAATATAATACAGGACACATACTTTATATGATAATTTAGTCACCCAAAGAATGATATACAAAAAAGTGCAGGAAATCTGTCCACACACTATAGAGCAAAGAACGCAGCTGAGGGCCTAGATCCTGTGATAATGTCCTTCATGAGTCCACCTTAAGACCTAGAGCGCATAACAATGCCTCCCACAAGCCCGACTGGAGGCCAAGAACCCATAACAGTGTCTCATGCAGGCCTGTTTCACCGATCTGTGCTGGGAAGGCCCCAAGGTCAGTGGTGGAAGCTAGAAAGTCTGTGCCAGTGGGATGAAGGATCTGTGCTAGCAGGCTGAGGGGTCTGCACTGGAGCCAGGAAGCGACACTCAAAGTAAGAACCAGAGCTCCCTGGAAAGGTACCACAGCCATCTTTGGCAACAGGGAGGTCCCGAGCTCCTCTGATGGTCAAGATGGCTGAGTTCCCATCAGGGAAGCCGAAGTTCCCATCAGGGAAGCAAACTTCTCTAGGAGACAGGCAGTGCACCATCTTCCCCTCCGGAGCCAGGAAGCGATGCTCAGAGCGAGGACCAGAGCTCTCCCAAAGTGAACTGAAGCTATTGTCAGTGCCAATGAGGTCCCGAGCTCCTCGGAGGATGGAAACAGCCAAGTTCATCAGCAAAGCCAGCATGACAAGCTCCTCCAACGGAACTAACAGCTTCTTAACAGCTTCCACCAACAAACTCTCTCAGCTCCCAACAGCCTCTTTAGTTCCCAAAAGCCTTTCTTCCTCTTCTCCAGTTCTGCCTCTTACGCGGCTGGCAACAGTCCCCAGCTGGGCCTCCCACACCCAGCACCGCGCTTCTCAGTTCGGCTGGGGGTTATGAGTTGACCGCCAGTTGTCAGTCCACTTTACACCTAGGAAAAACTAGCTGCGGCTTTACCTCCCAGTACATGAATGATGACTGAATAAAATCTTGGAAACATAGAAGTATAAAGAGGAAAAACTGCTTAAACCTTAATATCCAAAAATAGTTGTTGAGGAAACAACTGGATTTTCTTCTAGAATTCTGCTTATGAAAGTAGTAACAAATGAAACAAACTTGTCTCCTACTTCTTCTGTTTTAGTATAAACTTTATTTCTTGTTTCTATGCTCTCTCTGCAATCTTACCATGTCTCCCTCAGAGCGGCGGTGGCGAACCTCTGCGCTGTAGCGGGCTGTCTGCACCACTGAAAGCTCTCAAGGGTCGCTCGATATACTGCCATCTAATTCTGCCCCAGTCTACTCAGCTGGATGTTTCACTTCTTCCTAATTTTTCTTTACTAAAACTAAAGATGTTCAGTATTTTTGGGTAACCTTTACTGTGTATTTAGAATTATTTCCCTAAATTACATTGCTAGACAGGAATCAAAACATTCCTCTATTTGTGAACTGTAGAAAACTTGGAAAATATTTGTTTTAAGACATCTTGAATCTGAACAGCTAATGTTTTGGGGGCATTTCCCTCTAGCTAAGACTCTTGACCACGATTTTGTCTTTTTTTGTTTTTGAGACAGGGTCCTGCTGTGCAGTTCAGGCTGGCCTTGACTTGCAGCAATTCGGCCTCAGACTGCTGGGATTCAGGCATGGGCCACCGTGCTGACATTATTTTTCAACAGTTAAATTTCACTTGAAGGGTACCCTTTATGTTCTAAGTGCCTGCACTGCTTTCGTCTTCATCACCGTTAGGTCAGCTCTCTCCCGAGCTCCCGATGCTCAGTTCCAGGCTTCCCCCTGTCTTGACTGACTCATTTCACAGCACACATTTATCAGTAGCCTCTGGAGAATGAGAGCAGAAAGGCCTCTCACATCCCCATTTTATGGCATGTCAATGCATTTGCCTAGTCTACACACTCATACAAATGGAAGCATAAATTATGTGGTGCTTTGTGACAGTTTCTTTCATTTAGCTTACTGTTTTCAAGGGTCATCATGTTGTAGCATGTGCTCTTTTCTACAGCTGAATAATATTTCATTATATGGATACACCATAGTTTATTTATCCCTTCATCAGTTGGTGGACTTCGGTCGGTATCTTTACTTTACAGTTATTAAATCATCCCAGAAGCAGCATGTATGATCATGTTCACAGCAGTATTCTAATGATCAAAAGTTAGAAACAACTAAATGCCCATCAACAGAGTGGATATTAAGAATATTACAGTATTCCGATACAATAAAATATTATTACCCAACAGTGAAAATGAATGAGCTACATGCATCAGCATGAATACATTTTAAACAAGACTGTTTAAAAATCAGGATGTGGGCCAGAGTTCTAGCTCAGCGGAACAAGCACCTGCCTGGCAAGCACAAAGACCTGAGTTTAATTCCCGGCATCAAAACAAATAAATAAATAAAAATCAGAATTTAACCATGTGTGGTGGTGTATACCTGTAATCCTAGCACTCGCGAGGCTGAGGCAGGAGGATTGCCATAAATTTGAGACCAGTCTGGGCAACACAGTCAGATCAAGGCTGGCTTGAACTATATAGTGAGACCTTGTCTCAAAAAACAAACAACAAACAAACCCCAAAACTCAGGAGGTAAGCTGGGCATGATGGCACATGCCTGCAATCCCAGCACTTGGGAGGCTGAGGCAGGAGGATCGTTGCGAGTTCAAGATCAGCCTAGGCTACAAAATGAGCTCAAGGCCAGCCTGAACTGCATAGTGAGACCCTGTCTCAAAAAGACACTCACTCACTCAGGAGGTATTAACTCAGAGAAACTGTAACATAGGGAAATGATTAAGAACGTGCATGCACAAGCATTCATGGTCATTTTCCCTTGCTTTCTTCTTCCCTCCCTTTTTCCCTTTCACTGGGGATTGAACCTAGAGCCTTCATACTGAGCTACAACCCTAGCCCTTTCTTGATTTTGAGACAAGTTCTCAAGAAGTTATTAAGTTGCACAGGCTTAGCTTAAACTTGCAATTTTTCTGCCTCAGCCTCCTAGAATACTGCAATTACAGATGTATACTACCACTCTGGGGTGGTAATTTATTCCTTAAAGTGAGTATAAGTTAAAATATATTATTCTTTTTGAGTACATCTCAAATATCTTATTTAAGACATACTGGCTATGACTGTGTTCAAGCTCAAGCAGAGTTAAACACTTGTATGGTTTCTTGTTACTTTGTATTACTTCTCCAATGATAACGATCATATAGTTACTATAAAATACAAATGGGGAGGGAATACAATTGCATGTTTTAATTCTTAAAAACATTTTTACCTGCAATTTTTTTTATAGATAGCTGACTTGTTTTATGAGAAATAAGCAGTCCAAATAACTGAAATATGTATGTAAACAATTTGGTTAAAAAATAAGCTTCACCTAAACTGATATATTTGTATGTACTGCATAACTGTATTCTTTCCAACAGAGGAAAAAATAACCCAAAAATTCTATGCAAGAACTTGAAATAGTGCTTTGGTATGATACAGGGGTGATGTCATACAATATCTAGGTTTCTACATCTTTTTGTTTAGCAGGAAACAAATACTAAAAAAGAAAAAAATCATCACTTTATTAATATAAACCAAATGAATGTAACTTATAAACTACAGTAGAATTACATAAATCATGACATAATCCCAACGATAAGGCACTATCATTTTCCAAGACACACCAGTAAAATGAAAATGACAAGTAGCTGAATATATGGTGGTCCACTTATCACTCCCTTCCCAAAGGTACACAGCTACATATATTCACATGCAGTCACAACGCAAGGGGATTTCACGGATAAGTTAAGGATAGAGTCAACTGTTGATAGGTTTCCCTCCTGGACAGGGTGAAGTCTAAGGATGTGGGAGAAGGTAAAAAAAAATTTTATGTTTTGCTGTGTATAATACAATTTTGAACTGCTAGAATCTTTTCCAGTGAGAATTAGTCATGAAATACATCATTTAAAAAACTGACAAAAGGTTTTTAAAAATACAACTCGCTGTGGTGTTGGGCAGGTTGCAGGCTGGACTGCTACTTTCAAACTGAACTGCCTAGCAGTATTTCCCTCCAGAAATGCTCAACTGAACGAGAAGGCCAACCACAGGACCTGACAATCCACCCCCAACCAGATCCAATCAGATCAACGAGAATTCCCGTGGAGGGAAATGTTAGAGGCTGGGAAAAACTCTGAAATCTTAAGCAGTAAGGACAAAAGAGTTGCAGGAGGAAATGACTGCTGCCAACCAGGGAGACAGAATCTCTGACAATGAAGTAAAAACCGTAAGAAAATAAAGACACTCACTGGCTAAGAATAAAAAAGACAGGCAAATCTAGATATACATTCAGAGCCCAGCATCACAATGGTGGCCTATCTATCAACTCCTCAATATGGCCCAAGTTTGAATTTGGTTACTTAGCAAGAACTGTTCTAAATAAGATACATACATTATTTGGCAGTAATCACAAGTTTAAAATGTTTCACTTCTAAATAGTTATTCTAAAAAATTAAGGTAACTATATATACTTTATAGCAATGTCAATTTCAAATTGACAGCTCTCTAGCTGTCTCTTTCAAGGGACACAGATCTTTCAATCAGGTCTGTGATATCTCATCCATAAATAAGGAAAGGTGGCTAAGAGCTACTAACCCCTGGACAGCTTACCATCCCAAAGACCGAGAAAACTGACCCTGGAGGAGGGAGACGCATTTACGGAAAGACAAACCTTGGTGAGGGGAAGGGAGTGAGAAGAACGAAGACGTGCATGCCCATGTGCCAACTCCCGGCTGTGAATGCAATGATACACACCAACGGTTCTATGTGCTAGTGAAAAATTTTTAAAATTAGAACAAGACAAATTTTAAAAGCAGTTAACATG